TAGCAACCAATCTTTGCAGTTTTACTCATTCTAAGACGCTCTTTCTAGCTGTGGTGTTGGATTTCGTTCTTCTTGCCTTGATCAAAATTTAGTCTATAACTGGAATCACGCATTGACAACATGGCCAACATTAAAGAAAATACATTCTTCACCTGCCGTATCAGTTGCATGATACCTTTTGCATCGGCATGAGCACTAAAACATTTAAACACACACAAAATTAAGGGAATTTAAAACTAATATTATAGTAGCTTCACATTCTAAAATGCATTGTGTTCTGCATTGTGTCTGAAAGAAAAATAGAAAAAAATTCTACATTCCCACCTAAATGACATCTGCTGTACCGAGAGCTTTACATCGATCTGCAAGATAGTAAAAATAAGAAAAACACCTTTGATTTTTTCTGTGTTGGTGTTGTGTACTCAGGTGAGCACTATACACTCAGAGTAACATCACAAACATCAGGAAAATAACTGTTTGAAAGCTTAGAGTAGAAGGAGAGCAGAATTGATACTTCAAGTGTAAACAAAATGGCCACCGGCTCATCTTGACATTAAAGCCCGGATAGTTACCAGTAACAGTGACTTACCGTTGCCGGACAGCAAATACCAGCAACAGTGACTTACCGTTGTCTTTTTATCCTGCAACTCGATCTTCTTTTGTCCTGCAAGTACCTTGTGTCCCACAGTTCCCACCACACAATATCCAGGTATGACGATCTACAAATGTTATAACCTGTTTAACTAGTATAAGTATTGACAGTGTTGAAGACGTCATAACCTGTCAAAAGATGACTTCAACAATGTACTGGTAACATCAACAACGTCTCAGTAACATTTATGATACAGTATACTAACGTGTGTTCAACACGTCAGAACGTCAATGTGTTCAGTATAATAACGTATAATAAAATAACGTGTTTCACGTCAATGTGTTCTGCGTCAACGTGACTATTATTTTAATAACGTGTTTCACGTTAAGAGGAGATTTTTTGTATGTTACGTAACACGTGCTCAAAACTAATGCGTATAATATACCACTTGAGGTTATGACTAAATTCTAAATTTTTATTTTTCGATACGTTTCTCAATCGGCAAACAAACTTAGAAAGTATGTTTAGTGCTTTATCTGTAAAATAATGCGAAAATGAAGAGATTTTAGATGATACGCCAAAGAGAAAATGATGTCTGAAGTTCACTAAGTTTTGCTTATATGGCTGTAAATATGGCGTCAATTTTAAAGCATCATTGATAATTGTATTTTAATTGACAATTTTTGACTATTATTTTATGTTTCTCAACCGGCAGATGCATTTATAAAGGTAGCTAACTCTATAAACTAGAGAATAAAGCTAAAACAAAGTAATTTTGAGAGGAACGCCAAAAAGATTTTAGGTTTTGAACACTTTTCATTGCAAATAGGCTACGTGACATTGTGTCATTAATGTGTTCGTGTTATTCGTACCATATTCTTTTCGTCAGGTGCCCACTTCTTGAATAACTGCAAAGACAATCCAGAATGCAACATCCCTGGCGTAGCAAAAACGACCATTGGCCCAGGGTTGTCTGCAAATGACCTTTCAAATGGCTGAAATATAATATTTGAAACTCACAGTTATATTATCTGTACAGACTATAGGAACGTACAGCTGTTGAAAATAGAAATGAATGATAAAGATATTATCATATGATCCACACTGTCTTGAAAGTGAATTTTTACCTACACACCTTGATGTGTTTGAAGTCAAACATGTTTCTCTGTACAAATGTATTCCGTATCTTTTGATTTGTCCATGTGATGAACAGTTTATAATAATGATTCGCCTAAAAGAGGAATAAAAGTCCTGATGAAAATGAGGAACTAACAGTCTTTAACACAACTTTTCATACATACCCCTCCTCGTGTGAGAGTTAATGAATTTTTAATTTCAAGCTACCTTGTTTCATGTTTACAGACCTTTTCTGTTAGTCCAGTTGAGAAAAATATCGGAGCTTTTAAGTTCATTCTTTCCCTGGGATAAAAATATCAATGGTTTTATGCTGGATATCAGAAGATAATCAACAATCATCAGCTCTGGCATTTGACAAGGGAGTTCTGGCATTTGAAAAGGGAGTTCTGGCATTTGAAAATGGAGTTCTGGCATTTGAAAAGGGAGTTCTGGCATTTGAGAAGAGAGTTCTGGCATTTGAAAAGGGAGTTCTGGCATTTGAAAAGGGAGTTCTGGCTTTTAAAAACAGTGTATTGGCATTTGAAATTGAAAAGGGAGTTCTGGCTTTTGAAAAGGGAGTTCTGGCATTGAAAAGGGAGTTCTGGCTTTTGAAAAGGGAGTTTTGGCATTTGAAAAGGGAGTTATGGCATTTGAAAACGGAGTTCTGGCATTGAAAATGGAGTTCTGACTTTTGAACAGGGAGTTCTGGCAATTGAAAACGGAGTTCTGGCATTTGAAAACAGAGTTTTGGCATTGAAAACGGAGTTCTGGCATTTGAAAACGGAGTTCTCATTCAACATTTCTCATTTTATCTTACCAATAAGTTTCCAGGAGGATGCAAAGTTCTTGAGCTCTTCCCAAAGCAAACACAGGAATAAGAACCTACAAAACATTCAGAAGTCTTCATTCTCATTGAACGTTTTCTGAGGATGTTGACACAGTAGCTCAATGTACCTTGCCACCTTTATCAATAGTATCATGAACTTTCTTCAACAACTCTCGTTCTCGTACTCTACAATAAAATAACAAAATTAAGTTGCTTAGCTGAAGAAATTTATTAACATCAGTAGATTAGCTTCGCAAACCTTTTTGAATCTCGTATTGTTGTTGCATATGTTGACTCTGTAATGAGAACATCGGGACGACATCTGTCAATCCACGCAGCACTAAACAACCATAAAGAATGGACCTATTACCTTAGAATGAACAAAATTTTGATCTAGACAAGTCTAGACAACAATTTCATCACAGCTTAAAAGAGCATCACAAAATTAGTAATATTCAGAAGTTTCGTTGCAAAATGTTGTAAAATGCGGATAATATAGCCCTGCGAAGTTTGCCGTTTTTCAGTCATTTTGTATTACGCACGGGAAATTGATACCGCTTTCTGAAAAAGGTATCAATTTCCCGTGCGTAATACAAAATGACTGAAAAACGGCAAACTTTGCAGGGCTAGATTATCCGCATTTCACAACATTTTGCAACGAAATTTCGGAATATTACTAATTTTGTGATGCTCTTTCAAGCTGTGATGAAATTTTTGTCTAGATCAAAATTTTGTTCATTAGCTAATGTGGTCCATTAGTGAATGACTAAATTTTTGTGGTCTTACTCTAGTGGATAATGAGCCAACTCACCCTAGATGTCTGTCTGGTGTCATGTTGTAATCACCCTATACATAAAGAAATCGACAAAGATTATGCTGTTCAAGGCATCTAAGATGTTAATGAATGATGTGCAGGAAAATCCTGAAAACATACAGTATATACGATAGATTCTTTTCCAACTTTAACCAAAAACATGGCAGCCCCCAGAACATGACCAGCATAATATGGCTTGATCTCCAACTCATCATCCACCTAAATCAAAGTCACATTTCAGATGCTAAAACTTTTTATTTCTTTTCCTAGTGAACACAACTAAATGAACGACATTCAATCTAACCTGAACAGACTGGTGCAAGTTTACAGCAATCACTTTCTTCATACATTCTTTTATCATCTAAAACAAAATGAAAATGCTTTGGAACTGGGTCATTCCAGAAAACATCTATACTTCCACCACAGAAGAAATTGGAAGTTAACCCCCCCCCC